AAATTAATTTAATTGGTGCCGAAAGCATGCACATTTCTTAATTATCAAATGATTTTTAGAACGCCCCTAAGTCTCACGATTGTGTAAACAAGAATCTTTCCAATTTTGTGATTTTTCGAATGCCCCAAATGAATTTTAGAACTCCTCTAGGTTTCACAATTATGAAGAAAAATATTTACAATCAGAAACTTTTTTTTTTTTAAAAAAAAAAACAAATTAATTTAATTGGTGCCGAAAGCATGCACATTTCTTAATTATCAAATGATTTTTAGAACGCCCCTAAGTCTCACAATTGTGCAAACAAGAATCTTTCCAGTTCTGTGATATTTCGAACGCTCCAAATGATTTTTCGAACGCCTCTAGGTTTCACAATTATGAAGAAAAATATTTACAGTTTTGCTTTTTAAATAAGTATAATAAACAAGATTTTTTTTTTAAAAAAAACATTAATTTAATTGATGTCCCTATTCTTTCCCAATTTTGCTTAGTTTTTTTTTTTTAAAAAAAACAAATTAATTTAATTGGTGCAGAAAGCATATACATTCTTGATTATCAAATGATTTTTCGAATGTAGTAAGTTATCCAAAAACTAATAGTTAATATAAATTATACTCTAAAACTATAGTTTTAGAATACAATTTATATTAACTATAAGTTTTGGATAACTTAACTATTTGAATGCAACAATTAAGTATCACCAATTTTTAACCTTGGAATGTTAAGTAATCTGACCGCATTTGAATTTTACAATATCGGTTATTCCTAGTGATGTGAATAGTGATGAGACTTAAAAATTAAAAATTCAAATATTATACCCATAATCTAGTTGAAATAATATTATGGAAACTTCATAAATTATAAATGCGACAATTAAGAATCAATATTTTTTGTATTGTTAGTCCAATCACTAGATGTAAACCATTACAGATCTTAATAAAACTTTCTATTTTTTAAATATTAAAAAATTATTTTTTTTTTTTTATATTTAAAAAAGTACTTATTCAAATAGGTTAAAATTATACAGTTCGATTCTCTAATCACAGTTTACGTATCATGGTTATAATTATTTTATTAACTTAATTAATAAGTTTAACTAAAAATACTTAATATCTTAATAAGCTTAATTAAAATATTAAAATCCTAACCATAAAATATTAAATATATTATGGATTAAAATAATTGACCTTCAAATCTTTAAGAATTTTTTAATTTTTAGAGAAACCAAAACATATTTGTATATTTAAATCTTAATCACGATTAATTTTTATCTTTAGCTATCTGTTCATTGCTGAAGAAATGCAAAATTTGAATAAATAATCAATGCTTTGTCGCAATTCAGGTAGGATATTTTTTAAGATACTAACCTCTTTTTTATTCATGATAGCACTAAGTAAAGCCAAAAAACCATCTTTATTAATCTCCTGAAGATAATTTAAAGTAATATTTAAATCTCGTATTTCTTCAAGAAAATTTTCTAAACTAATATTCTTATTTTCTATAACAATCATGGTATATTCAAAGACCTTTCTCAATTTTGATATTTCTGAGAACATTGATTCTCGAATCGCTTTTCTGATCATACTATTGATTGCTTTAGTCTTTAGATTTTCAGCCACAAACGTTTGTGTTTTGATAGAATCATAAATTGACTTAAACATTATAAATTTACTGTAAACCTCAGCCCAGTCTTGGTCAATTTTAGTTTGTTTTTTTTTTTCAAGAATTTTTTCGTTATAATTTTTCCACTCTTCCGCTTTAAATCCATCAATATTTATCACTGGAGCGACGGTAGGAGTAAATTTTTCACTGCTTTGAATCCTTTCAATATAGTCGGTTTTCTTAGTCTTTGTAACGGACATAATGTAATAGTTAAAAAGAAATAATAATAAAAATAAAAGAATGATACAGATATTTACTATATTATACTTTGAAAAGAGCGATATTTAGTGAAAAACTAAGAGTGACAATCTTACGTTAAAAAAAAATATTTATGTTGTGAAATCAAGTTTGCATAAATCTATGTTAAAATACAAACGTGTGTAACATTTGCTTTTTTCTGGATCAATCCGAATAACGAAAAACTCACAAAACACGAACACGTATATGATAAAATTAGGATCGGTTTCATTTTTTTAGAACCCTATCATTATTATATATCTGGAAATTGCTACAATGAATTTATTTTTCCCAAAGTATTACGAGGGGTTTAAAGAGATAGGTTTAATTTATACAAATTTAACTTTACGTTAACTTTAATATTTTAGTTTAATAAATTAAAAGCCTTCACTGCCATAAATTCTATTCACAATAAAATCCAATTTAAATAAATTGAAACTATTTAATACGGCACTAACTCATCATAATCTGGATATCCGAACCCATGACCTCCAGCCATTATTTCAGCAAAAAAATCTTTTATAATTTGTATTGCAAACATTTCAGGAATATACAAAAGTTCAGGTTGATTGTTGTCAAAAGTTCTATGTACAATTGGCTCATAAGGCTCAGTATACAAATATGAATGCTTCGACCATTTAATCCTATAAAAAATCGATAAAATCAGTTCGAACTTCTATGCATCAATTTGAGAAAATAAAAAATACTTAACAGCAAAATCATAATTACGATAAAGGCCTCAATAATAAATATAAAAAAACAGAATAATATTGCAAATACGAAATTTCTTGTATGTTTTTATCACACCTTGAACTTTTAAATGATTTCAACTTACTGGAAAATTAAAGATTTATATTGGCACTAATCCTTCATATTCTGGATGTCCAAATCCTCTTATGTAAAAAAAAGTTTTAATAATTTGTATTAAATATTCTATCTTTCGTATTATAAACATATCCAAAGGTTCAGGTTGGTCAATCCCAAAAGTTCCATGAACAATTGGCTCGTAAGGCTCAGTATACAAATATGAAAGATTCGACCATCTGATCCTGTAAAAAATTGATAAAATCAGTTCGAACTTCTATGCGTCAATTTGAGAAAATAAAAAATACTTAACGGCAAAATCATAATTACGATAAAGGCCTCAATTATAAATATAAAAAACAGAATAATATTGCAAATACGAAATTTCTTGTGTGTTTTTTTTACATCTTGAAAATGTGAAACCAATTTATAATTTTCTTCTCGAAGAATTTCTTCCATATTCATTTTGAGATTTCTAATTTTTAATTCTTAAAAATTTTTAGTTATTATAAACTTTTGTAGTTCAAATGACTCTCAAAAATTATTTACTTTATATATATTCAATTCACGTAACAGATCAGCGCGCTTTATGTTATATAATTTATATAATATAAATTATATAAATTAACTTTATCATAGAATACTGTATATAAACCTCGGAGTTTCATTTGATGCTTGTAAAATAGGTAATGCGAAGATTATTTTGCAATAGCGTGAAGAATTTCCTTTGTTTATTCTTAGTAGTAGATTAATTTCCGTTTATGTTACAACTTTTTTGGAATCTTATTGCGTAGTATTTATAGTTTTCACATATTTGTATGCTGAAAAAATTTAATTAAAAAATACGCGCGTATTAATTGTGTAACAGATCAGCACTATATACACGAAAAATCATACTTATCTCAGAGTTTCATTTTAATGCTTTGTAAAATAGGTAATACGAATAACCGCGGCAAAGATAGCATAAATTAAAACAAAATTGTTTTAATTATTTCCTTATTTGGGCAAGTTCATTTACGAAAAAATGTATTAAAAGAATCATGTAAAATCTAGTTTTCAAAATCAACTAAAA